AACTATAACCCGTCATTTATTTTCTGTTCAGTTTACAATGGAGCATGTGCCGTCATAGTATAACTGGAAATTTTTTGTTCACTGTGGAAAAGATAGTAAAACAAAATGAAGCTTTTCTGCATAATATACCTGAGAATTATATGTTTATTAGAACCATTTCAAATATTTCAATAAATGCAAGTGTAATTCAAATGCAGTTGTGTTAGTGTTAAAATATAAATTGCAGTTCAAAGAAAATCCTCTTGTGCCATGAGTTCTCCAAAGTTCATTCTTGTTTCATTCCTTTTCGTTTTGAAATCTTGGAGTCGTTGATTTGATATTTTTAAGTTTCAATACAAGGTAAAGCTTTTCAGCAGTAAAACATCTTTCTTGCATTTCTCTGATTGTTTTGCTAATTATTCATGTGGAATTGGTAGAGTGGGATGACAAAGAAGAAGGCAAGGAAGTGACTCAGCAATGGGAAGATGATTGGGATGATGACGATGTCAATGATGATTTCTCCCTGCAGCTTAGGAGAGAACTTGAGAGCAGCACCGAGAAGAACGAAGCCAAGTCTACATGACACAGTTGTTGTAAGAGGATAAATGCTTAGTAGATTTTCGATCAAAACTTGGGAGTGTTTTTATCATATGACTTTCTATTGCATCTTTAATTCCAGCTACTGAACTTCACTATGAAATTTGCCCGTTATGACTTTGTTAAGGTAGTTGCTGTGTTTTCTTATTCCTGTATTCTATTCTTATAATCAGGCACATGTCTATACAAAAAATTGACAAATAGTACTTGTCCCATGTCCAAGATGCTGGAAATTTGTGTCCTTAGAAAATTAATTGTAGACGTGGTGGATTAGTGGTTTGTATAGCACTTGATTTTAAGCCAATCTTGAGTATGTTTCAGTAAGGGCATGATTAAGTAAAAGCTATTGATTAAAAAAAAATTAGTAAATGCAAGAGGCTGATGCGAAGGGTTCCTCTGCAAGGTCTGGTTGGAGGTAAGATTTAATTGAATTAAGGGCTTTAAGTATTTAGAGATGGTTAATATGGTAACTGACACACAAAAAAATCTCAGAAAAATGAGAACAAACAAGAGCATAATGTGAATGAAATAAATCAATAGTACATCATGTCAGCCGAAATCCTTTTTCTGGTTTAAATACTCCAGTTTTCTCTTTCCATAGGTAAGATTTCTGTTTAGAAATTCGGAAAAAAGAAACCTAGGTGTGAACAAGATCAAGTGATTTCAAGGACCACGAGATTTCCGGAAACAGAGACATCCTTGTTGCTGATCAACTGGGATCATTCCTCCTCCTTTTGATGTGTCGATAGCCTCTAACATGGAAACTACTTCATCCATTTCCGGTCTCTTATCGGGGTTGGCATCCCAGCATCTCCTCATCACATTTGCAAAGGAATTCGGGCAACATCTCGGTATGTCTGGCCTCAAATTCTGCGTAGGGAACATGAAGTTAAAGCTTTTAGTTTTAGATGAGATAGTTGAACGTGAGAGATTACGTTGAAGACTAAATTGAAATAATTAAATGTCTACTCTCTAATGCCTTGAGTTTTTAGGTGAGATAGTCCAACGAAGCATACAATAGAGTTGCAACTTTATTTCATTTTTCTTTTTATGGAAGATGTTATGGAGAAATGCTTCAGAAAAGGTTATGATACCTGGCGAACAACAGCCGAAGTCACCTCTGAGAAACTAAGGTTGGGATATGGCATGTCGCAGCAGTACATCTCCCATAAACAAATTCCAAAACTGTAAACGTCACATTTCCTGTTATACGGGTTGCCATTAAGAACCTGCACTTAATTATAGACACGCCACTGGCATTAGTATCATAATCGGTGAAATTCTTACTCGTTCAGTCCTTAGCATAACACGAATACTTAATATGAGCATCCTAGTCAAGATGTTGGACTGCATTTTCATACCTCAGGAGCCATATAGCCGAGGGTCCCTGTCTCCCCTGTCATGTCATTCGGATTTGAAGCTTCAACACGAGCAACCCCAAAATCTGCAATTTTCAGCGTTCTTGTCTTGTCCAAAAGCATATTTTCTGTCTTAACGTCTCTGTGAACGATCTTCTCAGAGTGAAGATAACTTAACCTACCGAACGAGGTAAAAATCCATGAATAGTAACTTGAAAAGAAAAGGTAAAATCAAAGATGCAAGGTACCCTCTGGCAAGATCAAGTGCCATCTGAACGACAACTTTGAATGCTAGCTTCTTTCTACGGTTCTTTATGAGGTAAGATTTCAAGGCTCCTCCCGGAAGATATTCCACAATAACACAACATATGTTACTAGGCATGCCAATATGACCATTTTCCGTTTGAAGACTAAGGTCTGAAGAGCCTACTGTTGCACCGATAAACTGCAAAAGCAGCGTTCAGACAATAATATTAGAAAGATTCTACAAGAGACTATATAGGATTTGATAATGTTAATATGTCAAATTTACGATTAACAGAAAACCAAACATCGTAAGTTAACAACCTTGGTAACATTAGGATGATCGAGTTTATGCCACACTGCAACTTCTTGAGTAAAAGCAGCCCTTAGAGATGAGACTTCAGCATCTGTCCTGTGGCCCTCTTCCCCCCAGTCCA